TCTCACGTGCTGTTGTTTTGTCTGTATGTGCACACAGAGACTTTCTGAAGTCACTGTGCCTGTCTCTCTGTGGGCTCAGTGGTGAGGTGGGCTGCACTAGCCCTGGTATCATGATCTATCTCAAAGGGTCTCAGTTGGACAGCAGGATATGTTTTGTTTCAGTTGTCATTTCTAGAAGTGTTTGTCCACATGTGGCCAATATATGAAGAGCAGTGCATGCCTCTCTGTGTTGAGATGGAATGTGTCCAAATTAATGAAGCTCTAATCAAGTGTGAAATGTTTGCTGTAATTTCCCTCAAAAGAGACTTTTTCTGACCTCCCCCTGGCTTCCAGGTGAGTCAGGGTCTGGGGATGCCCCTCAGCAGGGTCTTGCCCAGCAGAGCTGGTGGGAACAAGCTTGCTCTGTGGGTGCTGCCTGGCTCCTGGGGGCTCCTCAGGTCACCCCCTCATGCCTACTGCCACTCACAGGAAGCTACCATTGTAAATATTCAACATACATAGGTGCATTCAGATTGTGCACAGACAATTCATGGTAACATTGGATGCAGAACATTTTGTGTTCCTGCAGTATCACAAACTGGCGTCTTGCAACCCACAGCTTCTGATGGCACAGGCATGGAGCAGAGGACCAGAAAGCACACAGGGTGCCCCAAGAAGTCAAAGTCAGGCAGAAGCTCTGTAGGGTAGATTACACACAAAGATCCATGTATGTGTGTGTTGAGTGAAGCACAGGGCTGTGCCCGGAGTCATCAGAGCATCCATCTCCTCTGCACAGAAATCTCTGTCCTGCCACCGGCAGCTGTGGGAGGCTGGTAAATAAGGACAGAGCTGTGGGAGAGAGCAGCTTGGGTCAAAGAATGGGAATTCCTTGGCTTGGTTGAAGCCCTTGTGTGTAATATTTAGCCTGGGAGTTTCTGTGTTGGTGGTGATATTTTAGCACCTTTGCTGCACCCAGGGGGAGGTGTGGCTGTGGTCATCGGGTGTCTGAGCCTGGGTGGCACCGTCAGCCCAGCTGGGGCAGCAGCTCTGGGCCAGCACCTGGAAGGTGACATGCCTTTTGGGCTTGTCCACTTGACCTTTTTGATTTTTTTAAAAAAATATTTTTACAATTCCCTAGGAAAGACCAGCACCTCCTTTCCCCTGTGAACTGCTGGTATCTGGTTCTGACACAGACCCGGCGAGAGAGCAGAGATCATGCCACCCTGAATGACATCTTCATGAACAATGTCATTGTCCGGCTGTCACAGATCAGTGAGGACGTCATCAGGCTCTTTAAAAAGGTAATGGCAGAGTTGTGCTCAGTGAGGATCCATCCTTGCATTTTAGTCTGAGAAAGAAGCATGTTGTGGACTTTGGCAAAACTTTGCACACTCCTCCCTCCAGAAGCCTGAAGAGGTACAAAAAGGTCAACATTATAAAAAGCAGAGAAGGGTAACAAGACTTTTCTTAGAGGCACATGTCACAACTTAATGAGAAAAGGAGAGAGGAGTTTGAGCTCTAGACAGCAAAAACTATACTGAGGTAGACCAAGTGAAATTCTCAGTATTCAACATATTGCTATGGTTGAGAACACCAACTGCATCCCTGGTGTGGGTGACGGGAGAGCGGGAATGGCAGTGTAGGTGAGGTGTGTTCCTGACACCTGGCCCTGCTTCTGTGACCCTCTAATCTGCAGCTGGGCTGCATATACATGACAGTTCTCATAGTGGGAATTTGCTGGAGCCTGGGGGCCCAAGGCCAGTGTTTCTCACTAGCCATGCTGAGGCTGGGGGCTGTGCTGCTGTGATGGTGAAGGAGGAGCCCACAGTGTTATTAAATGTGTCTCAGTGGTTTTATGGAAAGACCCAGTAGTGATATAATTTACTTGTTGCACCACCTGGTTGCAGTTGAAGCGACAAAGGGCAATTGACCTCTAGTGGGTATGGCTTCTTGCTTCACAGGAACTGCCATTCTCCAGAGTGGGGTAATCAGTTTCTGCGGTGAGATTTTTGAGTCAGACACAATGTCATCTGGAGATCAGGAGCTGTAGATCCAGGCTGAAAGAGAGAGACAGATATTTGCCTCAGGCCTGCCAGGGTGTTGCTGGTTAAAACAGGTGTGGGTACCTCTGTGGCACGTGGTCAGCACAGTTAAAAATGGGCCATGAAGACAGGGTGCATCTTTTTCCCTTCAGCCTTCTGCCGTGTATTTGAGCCTGTTCTCTGGACTTGGGTGGAGAGGTGGGTGTTCTGGAATGGGTGTGTTGGGAATGCCCTCTGCTCTGTGCTGATGCCTGCCTGGGATGGGTGGGTTTGACTGTCCTGGTGCTATGCAGTGTGCTCAGGTGGCTTCCTGCTGGTGTGGCATTGCAGACCACCCTGGGGCCAAGGAAGGCCATGGAAACTGTCGCTGTTTCTCTCATTTTGTTTACTGCAGCATGCTGGGTCTCACAGTTGTTTTCCATCAGGGAAGCATCCACAATTGCTGGGAGTGGCAGACCAAGGCAGGGGAAGCTTTCTGAGGCTGCTGTGAAGAGCCTAGGGCTGAATGTGGTTCAGAGCAGCTCTGGGTGGCTTCATTTCAGTGGTGGCTCAGCCTGCAGCTCCTCCTTTCAGTCTTCCCAGTGTCCCACATGGCTTGAAAGGTGGGTGGTTTGGGGAGGGACACAGAGCTGCAGGAAATCAAGAGTGGAAATTGGGTTTGACTCTCCAGCTCTTCCTGTCTTTGCAGCACGGCTGCCCCAGGACTGGCTCTGGGGGTGACTTTGGGGGGTCTTCTTTGCTTGCTGCCAGCCCTGGACACTGACAGTGATGTGGTGAGGTGAGCAGGGCTCACAAATATGAAAGGCAGGGAGTGTGTGGCCTCTTGGGTATTGTCTCCTCTTTCCCAGGAGCAATTTAGGGCCTGGAGATAGTGCTGCTCTCTTGGGTGAGGAATGGTGTCCCACTAGTGACTCCAGAGTTGTGCCCATATTTAGGGGTATCCTGGGGTGCTGTGGGGGAACCTACAGGCAGGTTGAGGAGCTCAGTGGGAAGTGTGGGGAGACCAGTGTCCTCTGGCCAAGCATCTCCAGCCTGCAGCTCTCCAGAGTGGGGTAATCAGTTTCTGCGGTGAGATTTTTGAGTCAGACACAATGTCATCTGGAGATCAGGAGCTGTAGATCCAGGCTGAAAGAGAGAGACAGATATTTGCCTCAGGCCTGCCAGGGTGTTGCTGGTTAAAACAGGTGTGGGTACCTCTGTGGCACGTGGTCAGCACAGTTAAAAATGGGCCATGAAGACAGGGTGCATCTTTTTCCCTTCAGCCTTCTGCCGTGTATTTGAGCCTGTTCTCTGGACTTGGGTGGAGAGGTGGGTGTTCTGGAATGGGTGTGTTGGGAATGCCCTCTGCTCTGTGCTGATGCCTGCCTGGGATGGGTGGGTTTGACTGTCCTGGTGCTATGCAGTGTGCTCAGGTGGCTTCCTGCTGGTGTGGCATTGCAGACCACCCTGGGGCCAAGGAAGGCCATGGAAACTGTCGCTGTTTCTCTCATTTTGTTTACTGCAGCATGCTGGGTCTCACAGTTGTTTTCCATCAGGGAAGCATCCACAATTGCTGGGAGTGGCAGACCAAGGCAGGGGAAGCTTTCTGAGGCTGCTGTGAAGAGCCTAAGGCTGAATGTGGTTCAGAGCAGCTCTGGGTGGCTTCATTTCAGTGGTGGCTCAGCCTGCAGCTCCTCCTTTCAGTCTTCCCAGTGTCCCACATGGCTTGAAAGGTGGGTGGTTTGGGGAGGGACACAGAGCTGCAGGAAATCAAGAGTGGAAATTGGGTTTGACTCTCCAGCTCTTCCTGTCTTTGCAGCACGGCTGCCCCAGGACTGGCTCTGGGGGTGACTTTGGGGGGTCTTCTTTGCTTGCTGCCAGCCCTGGACACTGACAGTGATGTGGTGAGGTGAGCAGGGCTCACAAATATGAAAGGCAGGGAGTGTGTGGCCTCTTGGGTATTGTCTCCTCTTTCCCAGGAGCAATTTAGGGCCTGGAGATAGTGCTGCTCTCTTGGGTGAGGAATGGTGTCCCACTAGTGACTCCAGAGTTGTGCCCATATTTAGGGGTATCCTGGGGTGCTGTGGGGGAACCTACAGGCAGGTTGAGGAGCTCAGTGGGAAGTGTGGGGAGACCAGTGTCCTCTGGCCAAGCATCTCCAGCCTGCAGCTTCACCCATGCAATGGAGACAAGTAGCCCAGCCTCCTCCCTGCTCCAGCAGGCCCTGCTGATGAGGAAAGTAAAGGAAGAAAACTCAATTGGACAAATTTCCCTGGAGCTTCCAGTGTGAGTCACGTTCCTGGCACAGGGAGAGATTATCAAGGCAAGTGTTAGTGTTGCTAATAGGCAGGCAATAAACAGAGATGCTGTGATGTGTCAGTGCAGACCTGACTTGACCTGCTGTCAGAGCCAGCCCCTGTCACCATGAAGTCCCACAGCTCGTCCTCCTGGCACAGGCAAACCCAGGTGGGGGATGCACTGCCAGCCCCTTGCCAGGCAGGTCCTGTCTTCTCTTTTACCTCCTGCTCTGGCAGAAATAAGTTTGCTGCTTCTTCTCAGAATGGAATACAGGAAATTATATGTTTGAGACAGAGCATTGCTAGTCCGAAATAACTGTGCAGCACTATTCCCCAGTGTGAGATTTAATTATGTTCCGTGACAGTGAATTTAATTATGCCCCATACTGCAGTGCCCTGGATGGAGATTTAATGAAGAAGTGGTGTCTGTCTGGAAGGGAGCTCTTTTCTTTGTCTCTACAATAAGCATTCTTCGTTGCCAGTAGTCCAAATTGGTTCTTCCCCTTACTTCTGCAGCAGCAAGAATTGTAATAAACCTGCTAAACTGAGGCTGTCGCTATCCCAGTGAGCAGCTGTGGTTTTTAGGAGGCATGGAAGGCATAAAGCAAGTGGCTAAATTGGAGTTTGGGTTTTGTGGATGGTACCAGGGGATTGGAATCAGGCTTTGGCTTTCTCTCCCATAAACACACAAATGCAATTTTTCTGTTAGAATAAGGGGAGGCAGCAAAACTGGGAGGAGAGGTGAGTCCTTCAGCTTCCTGCCTGCATCTGCAAGAGGCCCCAGCACCATGAGGCTGGATGTTGCCCTCTTGGGAGAGGACCTCTTGGGAGACTTTGGGCGGTGCCAAAGACCACTTTGGTCTCCAGCAACAGGATGCAGGGTGTTTGGTGTGTGGTGTCTGAGCATCCAGGTCTTGAAACGTACCCGCCTGTTGTCGCCTGTGTTGGGGTGACTCACGGGACCACGCTCTGCCCACAACTGAGATGTTTTGTGTTGCTCTATTTAGGAGCCTAAAATTAGGTTTGAAAATTACAGCTTTGTGGACTTCCCTTCTGCCACACAGGAAGCCCAGGGCAGAGGCAGGAGCTGCAGCTGACTTGGGGCCATTGCCCCCACCACATCCCACCTCCTGTGCCTTGGGGAGCTCAGTTTGGGGTCCAGGCTGTGGCTCCACAGCAGCAGGGGCAGCTTGGGGGGCTATTTGTGGCTCTGACCCCCAGCAGCCTTGAGCCTCTGGGGTCAAAGAGCCCCACTTGCACACCCTGATTGAAGTAACTCACATTGTAGGTGTAACTGGGAGGGATTCATGCTGTTAATGGCTCTGCTGCCTATTAGCAAGTCAGATTTTTGAGACCAGCTAGTGACTGCCAGCACTGGCGGGAGCGGAGGGGTCTGGGGTTTCCAGCAGACAAGGTTTCCAGATGGCTGGGGGTACTTAGCACCTTCTGCTAATTGGCATCTTCTTGGCACCTCGCACACATGAGAAAGGGAGCAGTATGCATCAGTCCAGGGGGGTCTGTTCCAAATACCCTGACACCAATTCACAGATAGACTTTAATTACTGGATATTCACTGGATGGGGGGTGCTTTGGCTCTGTGGAGTCCTTGCTTTGCTCTTTGCATTCAATTATAACTTTTAATAATCTAAGGTTAAGCTTCTCAAGTATGCAAATTGTCCAGTTAGCTTTAATTAGAAGACCTCTCTGTGTCCTAGGTTTCTTTGGCCAACCAGCCCAGAAGCTGATGAGATGTTTGGGTTTTTTTTTCCCTGTGTGCACAAAAATGCATCGAGTTATTTGAGGAAATCTGAAAGAAACTGCTTGTTGTTCTGGTTATTTTTTTGTGGAGGAGAGAGGGTGTCTATACTTAGTTTAAACACATCTTCAAGCTATAATAATTGTTTCCTAGCCAGGAAGATTCTACAGAGAGCTGTGGGGTGTAATTACAAGGGAGGCAGGAAAGTGGTGTGTGCACATCTGCTGTAGCATCCAGCAGCTGGATTTCTGAGTAGGAGCAGACTTGATCTGCAGCCAACCTGAAATGTTCAGCAGCTCCCCCACTCCTGGCCTCCCCCATGCAATGCCATGTCCATGCTGTAGGGGGTGGTCCTTGGATCTACTTCATCCTACCTGGCAAGAGAAATGAAAATACAGACAACTGGATTGCAGCGGGTGGGGGTGGAGGGAGGAAGATGCCATGAGTGGCTGCAGGCATGGGGAGCTTTGTCCTAATCCTGCTGAGCTTTGGTTGTTGTGGTTGTGCAATTGGAAACCTTCTTATATAACTGTGGTGTAGCCATTTCATAATATGATGTTCTTTTTGAGAGAGACTTTGGTTCAGTTGGGGCAGAAGAGTGAAAATGAGCTACTGAAGACAAACTGGGGAGAGCAGGTCATGGTCAGGGTGAACCTAAAGCCTGAAGTGCTTGGGGCTAGGGAGCCCTGCTCATCAGCATTTGGAAATACTAAAGTTGATTGGAAATGGCAAATATAGCAACAGGTATCTCTAATAAATCTGTCAAATCCAAATAGATTGACAGGTGACACTGTATGACTGCAGAATGCACATATAAGTGAATCAAGTCCCCAAAATGGGAGGGAGTGCTACAGGTTAGAACCAGGCCACGGGTTGACTGTGGGCTGGAGATAAATGCTGCTGGAGGAAGGGCAAAGTGATGCTGTTTGTAAGTCCAGATTCATCCCTGGGTGTTTGCAGGATAAATAAATTGTGTGATGTTCCTCGTCATGGTCTCTGTCCATAGATCACTCAACCTGGGTTTCAAACATAGACCTCAAATGAAAATACAGCAATTCTGAAATAGCTCAAGTATTTGCTGTACTGGGTGTGCTCACGTTTAGAATTATGCATTTTATTTTGTTAAGGATTTATAGAAAATTAAATTAAATAAAAATGCCAGTAATGCTTTTAAACTTCAGTGTCACAGACAGAGTGGAAGAGGAAGTAACTGTATTTTGGTTTTAATGTTTAGAAATGGAAAAAATGGAGCCCAGCTATGGATTGGCAGCCCTGTCATTGAGGTCTTTTCAGCTCCCAGAGCAGGAAGATTATTAGACAGGATTTCTGAAGCTGTGTAAATACTCTTGGGGCATTTCTCGTGCTGTGGGGCTGTTCTGTTTTTTAAAATAATATCTAGACTTCACATGTACATGCTTTGGTTAACTCCACTGCAGAGCAAAGAATGGCAAGTCTTGTGTTTGGCAGGGAAGTTGAGGGGGCAGGAGGTGCTTAAGATGGGCATTACCAGAAGCCGGTTGTGCTGCCAAGGTCCACCTGCTCCCCTGGCCTGAAAAGAGAGAAGAGAAACCCTGCAGGCCTGAGAGACGGTACTGGGGTTTGTTCTCTGCTTGATGGGTGTAAACTCTTCTTCTTTTTTGTCTTCCAGAGTAAGGAGATTGGCTTACAGATGCATGAAGAGCTCCTGAAAGTCACCAACGAGCTCTACACGGTGAGTGATGAGCTGATGCTGCCCGTGTCCTCTCTGTGTTGCGGGGCAGCGCCGGCGCTGTCACTTGCTGGCACCGAGTGCCTGCTCAGCGTTTTGGTGGCAGGAGGAGGCTGCTTCTCCCTCTGCCCTACAGCCCGTTTGCTCCTCTTGCACTTGCTGGGAGTGTTTCACCCTTCACCAGGTTTGAGGGCAGCAGAGGAGGGTTTCCCAGGGGCCGTGAAGGGGCTCTGTGGCTGCCGCAGGCGGGGACTGTTCTGGCTGCTTCACTTCAGCATAAATGTTCTGGGCATGATCCGCTGTGATCCCTGGTGTCTGTGACGCTCTCACCTGCCTGGCCTTTCACACCTTGTTGCCTTTAGGCCCCTTTCAATTTTTCACTTGGTTGTTGATTTCTACCATGCATTAATGGCTCAGAAGTTGTGCTTGTAATTGGCAGTACTAATTTGTGGCTGAAACTGATCTTCTCGTGTGAGTCTGTTGGCTTGTTGGTGATGACTGAACATGATCTTCTGCTGAGGAGTGCAGAGAACTTTTGGCTCCTGTGTGCTCAGCTTCATCTCCCTGCTCTGGGGAGCACTTTGGTAGCAGAGCTGTCTCTGTGCCTCCAGGTGAATTTGTTTGCTGTTATTCAGGACATTGCTCTTCAAGCAGGTTTTCATAGTAGGGCAGTAAAAGTCTTTGTGTCACTTCTGCCTCTTGCCCTGTAGCGGTTGTAGTTTTTATTTTATTTGTGGTTTAGGATCAACAAAGCAATATAAAGTCTGTCTTGTGTTGGAAAATTGAGGGGATATATTTCCTTTCTTAGGTTGTATCTGTTACTGGTACATAAATAACACTGCAGTAGGTTTATTCCTAAACAGTCATTTTAGTCTGCCTTTTTGAAGAACAGGCCTAAAAAACAGAACATGAATTATATTATTTGAAATTTCTGCCATAAATCTTATCTTAACAGGTTTGTTTCTGCATTAGTTGTTGAAGGATGCAGTTCTTGTGAGACCTGCAGTGTGGGTGGACAGCCAGGTTGGATTAAAAAGCCTATGTGAGATTTGGGAGTGTGTTGTTGATGGCTGAATGTCACAAGCTGTGTTACTGATGGTGACTAATTAAGATTAATTAGAACAGAAGTGTGACAGGTGCAAAACAAAAAGACTAACAAGGACTGGGCTGACCTTAATACCTATGGACCAGTGTACTCAGAACCCAGACACAGGACAGGAGCATCACCTGAGGGATGTGGTTAGGTCAGTTTGAGGATCAGAAGTGTGCAGAAGCCTGGAGTGGATGCAGTTGGCCAAAGAAAGAGCAGGGACAGCAATTTTACTCCCACTGAGTCTGTGGCAAAACTCATCTGCACTGGAGCTGAGATTTTCCTCCTTTTGGTGCTTTGCTCCCACATGCTGAGCAGAGTGTGTTTGAGTGGTGAAACAGACGAATGGCTGGAGGAGCTTTGTGTTTTCTTTGAGCTGGCCCTGCTGCTAAGATAACAAACCAACTGTGTCATCTGCTGGGAAGGAGCAGAGAAGGGACAAGCTTGTTGCAGAAACGATGGTGAAGCATGAACGAAAAGCAGCCACAATCATCTTAACTCTATGCAGTGCAAACCAGCTCTCCTCCATCAAGAGTTTTCTGTCCTTGAGACATCAGGTGAAAGACTCAATTGCATCCTTGGCTCGCAGGTTGATCCAGTGTCTGGTGGTGGCTTGGGACATCCTCAGGACTGACCTGATGTTGGTGTGTTCATTGTCACATATTGGGTACCTGGGAGCACCGTGCTCAATAGCTGTGGCTGCTGCCAGAGCAGAGGTACAGAGCCAGGGCTGCAGGCTCAGAGGACACCCAGCTGCTCTTGTGAAACCTCATTTGTCTCCTGTCAGTGCAAGGAAGTCGTTTGTCTTGCCTGTGGCCAAGCCCTGTATCCATAGTACATCTGTGCCCTGGCCAGGCTGCTTTTTAAGCCTTCCAGAGGGGAATTCTGGGCACTGTGTGGAAACTATATAATTTTTTACAGGCTTCTCAGGCATTCACTGTCTCAAACTTCAGCCAAAATAACTAAATTGATTTTAAATTCAGCCTGGTTGCTGTTCTGATGCAAGTCACTCTGTGGACTCTGTGTGGAAAGAACTAAGCCCAAAACCCATGCTGATTTTTAATTAAAAAGGAAGTGGATAATTTTCATTCTAAAGTAGGAGTGGCTCATGAACAGTTCTGTACAGAAGTAATTCAGCTGTGAATTAAAGCCAGCTTCATTCTTTTGATTCCTGCATACAGACTCCAGCAGACAGATGCCAAGTCCCTAAAGGCAGGAGGTTTTGTGTTCCTCTGCTCACAGGTTCCTTTCTTGGAGTCTTTGCCACAAGGTGATACGGAAGAGGGATTAGTAAGTGTGAAAGGAATTGTATTCATTAAAAGTACCTACAGATACACTGCCTGGGTTAAAAATAATAAGTCATCCTTGCCTGTGTAACAGGACTTGAACTGGCTGGATGAAATGTCCCCTTTCCATCGGGAGAGCTGGATGGGGAGGCTGTACCTCCCTGGCCAGCAGGTGTTTTCTGCCAGTGTCTGTAGAACTGAGTGTGTCACACGGGGGACACACTAGTGCTGGCTCTGTCACCCTGCAGAAACACTCCCAAAGGAACAGGGTTGCTTTCATGCTTTCTTACAAGACCAGGAAGCTGGAGGTTGGTGTCCATCACTGTGCTGGGTCTCTCAGGGTGTCTCTTGGGTGGTGCCAGAGGCTCCATCCAAAGAGGAGGGGCCGAGCTCTTCAGCAGGCCCCTCCTGTGGCCAAGCTCATCTCTGCCTCTCTGTTTGGCTGCTCTTTTGGTGTCAGCTTCAGGGGCCCAAGCCTGTACTTAACATGGGTCACCTTTCTTCTGATCTGGCTCTTCTGCTGGGCCAGAACCATAAGGATGAGCTGTTCAGAAATACAAAGCACTTCTAGCTGAAGGCAGCAAACAGTGCCATTTATGGCCAGTGTTTTGGCAATGGCCTCTATCCAGAACGCCTTATTAATACTGGAAAACACAACTTGTGTTGTTAAATAACTAATGAACATTAGAACATATTTTTCTCCCTCCACTGCAGCTAATTAACTTATTTGCAGAAGAGATCCGAGGGACGCAGCTGTGGCAGTTTTTCTTTGTGACAAGAGTGTGAGGCAGGGACAGTGTGACTTGACTGCAAGTGCCAAGAAGGCACCAGGGAATTGCGGCTCAAGGGCTGAGTGCTGCAGTGCAGGTAGTCCCTTTTCAAAATTAAGGCAGATATTAAACCAAAGAGAAAGATCCCCTGAATTTCCAAGCACAAGCTGTGCTGCTTGGCAGCTGAAGAGGAACGCAGTTGACACAGGGAGCTGTTTAAGGCTTCAGCAAAATGGATGCTGAAGTTGAGGGAAAATATTTTAGTGTGATCACATTAGATCCTTTGTAGTTTGTTAAAGGGACTTTAGAGAAGTTTTGAACCTGGCTCCCATGTTACCTTTTCAGGTTCAAGCAGGGATAAATTACAGAGGAGGAATAGGAGCCTTTGTTAGGGGAAGCTTCTCTGGTCATTAGCAAATAAATCAGTAAGAGCCTTGCAGAGGTACTGGGCTTGGCTTGTGTTGTGGAGCTCTGTACAGTGGGGTCCTCCTTGCAGCCACAGGAGATGCTGGAGTCAATGGGAAAAGGGGCAGCAGCAGTGGCACAGCCATGGGGGAGGGAGACAACCTGAGTTGTGCTGAAGTTTTTCTGGTCAGGTAACCTTCCCACAACTTTGGATTTCCCAGCAGTTGTACCACTGGGACCACTGTGCAGTCATGGGACTTTCCTGACACCTTGTGTTATGGTCTCTGGGTGCTGGGGAACCTCTCCCACTCCTGCCTGACTGCTCCGAAGTGCAGGGCTTTTCTTTTTCACTCTTGAGTCTTTCACAAGAAGATGGAGACAGGGAAGATGAGGAGGGCTCAGCAAAGCCCTCTAGTCTTTCTCCGTAGGAAAAAATGCAGAAATTCAGTTTTGTGTGTTACCTGTGATGTTCACTGCAGAAACTGCAGTTTGAAGTATGCAGCTTGAATCTGTGTTAGAATTTGCAGGATTTTGTAAGAAAGCAGCTCAGAAACAAGGCAGAAGCCTCTGCTTACTGTTCCTTGCAGTTGCCTGAAACTGTATCTCCAGTGATGGCACACTGTGCAGGCTTCCATGCGGCGTTTGGAGCTGGTTTGCAGCTGACGTTTGTGCTTGGCAAGAGGAGAGATCATGTGTTTGAGCCCAACGACGTCCAAGTCAAACACTCCTGGTTCCTGCCGACAACCACAGCTGAGGAAAACTGTCTTTGCTTCATTAAGACTTGTGCAGAGCTACTCCGCTTTGGTGGGTTCCCCTCCCTTGGAGCTGGGGCCCCGAGGGGAGCCTGTCCCTGTGGCCATGCCCAGACATGGCCTGTGGGGCTGGTCCCCAGCAGGGTCAGGCATCTCCTGCCCTGTCAAGGCAATGTGAGGTACAACGTCCAAGGCCTGAAGGGAGCTGATGGAGTGGGACAATGTGACTAAAGGCATAAAGAGAGAAGAGCAGATGTGTTGCTCTTGCCAGCTCCATTACAATGATCACAGTGTGCCCTTTGGGCTTTTCTATCTGAAAGCAAAGGCTGTGGTAGAAGTTTTGCCTGCAGGAGTTTTTCTGGCAGATCAGCATCCTCTATCCAGAGTGACTGATGGCAATCTTGATTTGAAAGGACTTGGTGTTGCTGCACTGTGCCCTGGCACTGCCTGTGCCTACCAGCAGCAGCAAGAGGAGAACTAAGTGGTAACAGGAGACGAACTCCATTTCTGCTTGGACCTTGCAGCTCCTCCACCTCCAAGATGGGTTCTGCTGAGGGACTGTCTTAGCAAGTTCAAGTCTAGGAACAGAAAGGTTGAGTCAAAAGTGACTTCAGGTTGATTGTGGCCTCCTCACAGTCTCTTGTCATGGAGACCCTTATCCCAGCTGTGAAGCACTGGAAATTATTTCTCATTTCCCTGTGGGAAGATGCCCAGTGCTCTTTGAAGACTGATGTGTGCTGGAGGCACATCTCAGCCTGTCCCTGCCATGGGCCTGAGTGCGGATAACTGTTCTAAGGCCAGCTGTGTGCTATTTTGAATTAGGGCTATTGATGGGGTTCATTTTATGGGCTTTTTCTTCCCATCTTGTTCTTTAATGTCATAGTGGCCTCAGGCAGCCCTAGCACAGCTGAGACCTCTCCACGCTGCCCATGGCTCTCACCTTCTTGTGCACCACGGGGCAGGCGACTCACAAGCTCCTGTTTCCTCAGGTGATGAAGACCTACCACATGTATCATGCAGAAAGCATCAGTGCTGAAAGCAAGCTGAAGGAGGCGGAGAAGCAAGAGGAGAAGCAGTTCAACAAGTCTGGGGACATCAGCGTGAACCTGCTGCGGCACGAGGACAGGCCTCAGCGGCGCAGCTCCGTCAAGAAGATTGAGAAGATGAAGGAGAAGGTGGGTGGCAGGGAGGGAGGGGGAGCCAGGCTGGGGTTCCCTGCGGGCTGGAGGGTTCGGCTCTACCGTGTTTTCTGATGCAGAGGTGGGACCCTGCTCTGGAGGGACTGTGGCTGGTTCATGACTTACCTATATTTAAAGAAAGTGCTTTCAACAATGCACGGCAGCTGTCTCAGGGTGCCTTCAGTCATGGGCTTGGGGCAGGCAAAAAAAGGGTTGGGTATATAAAATAAGTGTCTCTTCCTCCGCAGACTGTCTGGGAGCTGAAGTGCAGCTTGTAGCTGGCTTTGCTAGTCAAAGCAGTTGACTGCATTCCAGCTTCAGCAAATCACCCGAGTTCTCAGGATCTCCAAAAGTGTAATTTTTCTGTTATTTGTGGATAAAAAACAGTGACTTCCTCAACCAGGACATGTTTGCTTGTGTGTTGACCCAGCACTGGGATGTTGTCTAGCAGCATGCTGCTGTGAAGGGTTAATCTTCTGTACTAAACCTGTAGAGCAGTGATCTGCCTGAGCAAACGCCCCCAGTCTGAGCACATCTGCTCTCCTACAGAGTTTGGAATTCTGGGACCTGTTTTAAATTTTGTAGCCTGGGCCTCTGGGCCAGATTCCACTTCGATACAGCTGCATAAATCTGGAGCAAGTCCAAATGTGTGTCAGCGTATCTGGGAGGAAAACTTGGCCCTCTTAATTTTGATGCCAAAAGCTCCACGAATGCAGAGATGAAGGAGGAGCAGCTGGGCTCAGGATGCACTGGGTGCATCTGAGCAGAATGTGCTTGTGGTGCACTGGCTGATGGTACCAGGGGTGTTCAGATGTGAGCTCCTCCATCCTGGCAAGGGTGCCTGTTTCCGTACCCGATACCAAATTGTATTAATTAACACGTCACACACAGGCCGCGGGTGCTGTGGGGCCCTGCGGTAGGGGAAGCTCTGAAAGTAGCATCCAGTTTGGGCTCTGAGACTGTATTTTGCTTTTTCAGAGACAAGCCAAATACTCTGAGAACAAGCTGAAGTGCACCAAGGCCAGGAATGACTACCTGCTG